GCCGCCCTGGTCTCATTCAGATGGAGAGTTCCCGGCCCCGGGGCTGCAGGGCAGGGCGCGGACCACCTCCTTCCTCCTCCCTTGCCTCACGCTCTCTCCTGGTCCTATCTTCTTCCTGCACCTGCAGTGTGGACCTGGTCCACGCCCAGATTCATGTGGCCGAGGGCCGGAGCCTGCCTGACCTGGGCCTGCGGCAAGAGAACATCCGCATCAACGGCTGTGCCATCCAGTGCCGGGTCACCACCGAGGACCCCGCGCGCAGCTTCCAGCCAGACACCGGCCGCATCGAGGTAGGCCCAGGACCCAACGTGTGCACGGAGCACGCTGCGGGCCTTGGCCCGTGCGAAGAGTCCCCGGCTAGCCCGCCTCTCCCAGGGGCACGAAGGAGCCGTGGGCCCAGCAGTGTGTGTGAACCTTGGCTTGGCTGCTCTGACTGTGGCTTAGAGAACATGGGAGCCAAGCACAGGCCAAGGGGGAGGGAGGAGCAGTCCCTGGGGAGGGGCTGCCCCAGGCAAAGGCTAGCAAGCCAGGGGGCTGGCGAATCCGAGGAGGAGTGGCTGGTAGAGCCAAACGCAGGGTCCCCAGGAATGAGGCCCAGGCCCTTGACTGTTCTCATGGGAGCCGAGAGGCAGAGCAGCTCTGTTGGCCTCTGCAGAACACGGGAGGGGGAGTTTGGGGGCTGCCTTCAGTCTTAGGGAGGGTGGCTGGCAAAGCAGCACCCATGGGGTGCGGCAAAGGACTGGGGCGCTGATGTCCCAGTGGAGGGGCCAAGCCAAGCAAGGGGACCGTCAGGATGGATACGGGAGTCCCAGAGTTGGGGGAGAGCAGCGGGGAGCCCGAGAGGCAGGCTCCTGGCCGAGACCGCGGTGGGCCGGTGCAGGCTTCCCCGCGTCCCAGCACCTGTGCCTCCGCTGGGGACACTGCCTGCGCCCTCTCTCTCCTCACACAGAAAGCCATCTGTCTCCCCTCTCGTCCCTGCCCCCTTCCCATGCTGAAGCCAGGAGCCCCCTGGCCCGCCCGGTGCCCGTTCCGCAGCCCCGCGTCATGCTGGCCAAGAATCCCTCAGACCTTGTGTGTCAGCGGCGCTGCCACCGGCTCTGCCGCTTTGCGGTGTCCCCATCCGGCCTGAGCTTCCCAGGAGGCTGGACATGAGCTCGGGTTCTGCTCCAAGTCCAGGGAGGAGGGCAAGGGCGATGTTGGGACAGATACGAGGCTCCTGAAAAACGAGTGACGGGCGGGAAGGGGAGATATCTGGCATCTGGAAGTTGCGCAGAGCCGATAGGCTCAAGGCAGAGATCTGCCAGCAGGATTCTCTTTCTGGAACAATCAGTCTATAGGTGGTGGCCAGCCCCAAGGCCAGAGTGCTGTCTCGCGGGTGGGCCCCTGACTTCTCTGCCCTCAGCCAGGAAGGGACAGCCTTGCGACACGACCCTGCCTCCCCATGCCCTATGCAAGGCCCGCTCCTCCGAGCCTGGTTTACCACAGAATATTTTTAGCCGACAGTTTCTGCTCACAGCTGAGTGTTCACCCTTAAATATTTTATTAAGTTCCTTTTCATCGAACACAGGCCTGTGTGCCTTAGAAGTGGAGACATGGTGCACTGGGTGGCTCAAGCCCCAGGCTGGCCCCCCACTCTCGTTTGCCTTACCTGCACCTCACAGGGCCCCCGCCTGGTGCAGGCTCCCCTGCCGCAGTTCACCCCTGCCCCATGACGTGTGTGCGCCCTTAACCCGGACACCCCGACCCTCCGTCGCCCCGAGTCTGCCTCTCTGACCTGCTGTTCTCTCCTCCTCCCTCCCTCTCTGGGCACTGGCAGAAATGAAGAACGTCACGGGCCAGGGTGGGGGTTGACCTGTGGGTACCCTCGTGCTGGGTCCCGCACCTGTCCAGTCTGGGCTGGGGGCCAAATTTTGACGGGCTTCCGACCCAGGTGCTGAGCCCACCCGCCTCTCCCCGCAGGTGTTCCGCAGTGGGGAGGGCATGGGCATCCGCCTGGACAACGCTTCCGCCTTCCAGGGAGCCGTCATCTCCCCCCACTACGACTCCCTGCTGGTCAAGGTCATCGCCCACAGCAAGGACCACCCCACGGCTGCCACCAAGATGAGCAGAGCCCTGGCCGAGTTCCGAGTCCGCGGCGTGAAGGTGAGAGATCGTTCACATCCCGGCCTTGGCCCGGCGCTTCCCTGCTCGTGACTTCTCCTGGTGGTACTTGGTCACTGCCGCCACCAGGCCCCTTACCGTCCCCAGGGTCGGCCTGGGTACCAGCCCTTGGCCAGAGTCGGGTCTTACTCTGGGGACCCCACGCTTCCCCTGCCCCATCTGGGTGAGATCTCCTGGAACGTGCGTTAAATCCACTTTCCCAGGCCTCCCTCCTGGAAATTCCGATTCCACCGATAGGGGCCCCAGAGCCCGCGTTTTGAGCAAGCTCTCCAAGCCATTCTCAGTGCCGGGAAATGCAGGTCCCTTGGCACGAGGCCCTGTGGAAGAGGTCACCGTGCATAAAGTCAGATCCTCCCCCTCACTGCCCCTTCCACTTGGCCTAGCACATGCATGACGCTGGGTGCTTCAGGGACAGCCACAGAGGCAGGCTGCAGCCCGGAGGCGTGTGCACAGGCCGGTGGGAGGCCGGGGGCCCGCCCTCAGGAGTTCACAGCCTGGTGGCCGGGCAAGGACCTGAATGCCCATGGGCCATTTGGTCAGGTTCCATTACCCAAGTCTGTAGCTAGGGATGAAACCACAGTCGCGTACTGTCTTGTCCTTGAGGCCTGCACTGCCCGCATATCTTTGGGCATCTCCTGGGCAGACGCTGCCATCAGACACTCTACGGGACAAGAAGAGCAGTAGGACAGGCCTCTATCCTAAGCGGATCGTGCCGCCCAGCCTCACTGGGCGGAGTGGCCGCCAGGCAGACCCGCTGCCCGTCCTCTTCTGGGAGGTCCTAGAGGATGGTCACCCATAGCAGAGGACGCCCTCCCTTGCCTGCCGCTCACGAGGAGCGTGGGGTGCTGGCTCACGGCCCCTCCGCATCGCCTTCTCTCAGCCGCCTCCAGCCCTGTCCGTGGCACAGGCTCGGCCGGCGGGGTTCGGGGTTCGGGGTTCGGCCATGTGGGCAGCACTGTCCTCTCAGTGCCCTGTGCCATCCCTCCCACTCGCTGACAAGGCTCGGTGGCGTGTCCTGCCAGGTGTCCCTGTGGGTACAGAAGCCTTTTGAGAAAAGCACGTGGGAGGGAGGGAGTCTGTGGGGCCGGCGCCGCCCATGTCTCCCCTCAGGCCGTCAGCCCACCTCAGGGAACGGGGTTCCCCAGGTGCTGGGGGCCTCTCTGCTTCTCTGTTGGTGGCTGGTCAGGAGGCTGTTCCCTGCACACGTGGTGGAACATGTCAGGACCTCATGTGCTCACCCGCGTTCTCACTAAAGGGCTTGGTTTTCCCAGCACAGTGGTTTAGGCTGAGTCTGGGGCTGATGGCCAGTGTGTACCGTGAGCCCACTGGGGGACCCAGCCACCCCACCCCTTGCCCGCCCACCCGTTGCTGTCCCCAGCCGTAGGCCCTTCCACCTGTTCTACAGCCTGGAGGGCGTGCATGCGCCTGGTGCCTGAGGGCCCTGGAGCTGCGGAAGGGGACCGGGGCCACGGGCAGGGGACTGGTGCGGGACACCGACTTCCGGTTCCAGGGGCCCCCCCAGACCAGGCCACCAGCTCTTGCCACGCCTGGAGCCTCTGCCAGCCCTGCCCTGGCAGCCCTGTGGCTCTTGGTCCCCTCCGGTCCCGCACACCCTTGCCCTCTCTTCATGCCCTGGAGGGCTCGCGCACCCCCACGCTTTCTGTTGAGAACCTAGTTTCGTTTGCTTAAAGCAGGAGCTCTCTCGGGCCACATCAGGTATGTGTTCTGGGGCTGGACGGCAGAACCACGGTGTGTCAACACTGGGCAGACCCGCAAGTGTGTGAGCTTGGCCTGCGCACGCGTGCACTCACACCTCATGCCCGCTCTTACCGGGCCACCCATCAGAACCAAGGGGGCCTAACACAGAAATGGCCACATACCCCTCGGCACGTGTGCTGTGGCTGCCGCGGCCCAGGCACCATCACAGGCCCTGGGGTGCCAGTGTCTGCCCCACGGTGGGACCCAGGCGCCCGCATGTCCTTGAAGCACTTGGTTGCGCCTGGTGCAGGGTGGACCGCCTGTGCCCTCGAGTACGTGTGTCCAGAACGCTGATTCCTCCCAGTCGATGCCCAGGGGAGATGACTGGGTGGCTGGCAGGGCCATGCCCGGGTCAGAGTGAGCAGGCCAAGGTGGCCGCCTGGAGTGTGGCTCCTCAGGGCGGGGCTAGAGCAGGACAGTGGCCGAGCGGGCGTGGGCGTCCCCTGGTGTTTGCCCCTCCTGCGTCCAGCGAAGGGGGTTTGACTCAGTCTTTCAAGACAAACCCTGGGCTAAGCCACTGGGTGTCAGTGGAGCACCTGGGAGGTGAGATCTCTCAGGGCCTGCAGCACCAACAGGAACCTTCCAGAGGGTCCGGGGCAGTGATTCTAAGCCCATCCCAGTCCCTCTGGGATAGCATTTTACAAATCCAGAAGATGCCCTGGGGGGTGATGAATTAAGGTCATCATCAACAGGGGCCACAGGGGCCTCTCTTACTGAGTTGCATTAATAATATCACCAGCCCAAATCCCTCTGCCCTGAAGGGCTGTGCCATCTCCCACCTGCTCCTGTGGCCACTGTGTGCACCATGACATACATGCTGCCACGAAGATGTCACATGCTGTCCCCAGCCTGCTGGAAGGGGTGTTCTGTGCATTTACATATGCAGGCACAGCACCGAAGGCTCAGGCACCACAGTTCTCTGGGGGCCACGCCTAGGCTCACCCGGGTTAGAAGGCACCAGATGGATGAGGCCAAGGGCACCCCAGGCTGCTTGGGCCACCTCCGCGGGACTGGCAGCCCCAGCCCTGACCCTGTCCGGTGCGCCTCTACCAGACCCCCTCTTAGCGACCAGAGACTAGCACTGAGGTGTCCCCAACAATTTTATTATAAAGAAAAACAAGAATCCCACTTGGTGGCTGCAGCCCCTGCCTCAATGGCTTTAAGCACCTGTCAGAGGGACCTGTCCCCTTATGCTCCTCTGTAGGCCAGAACCAGGGAAAGGGCCCCCTGTCCTGCCAAGCACAAAGGGGCCTGAGGTACCGAGGGTAATTCGGGAGGGCCTCCCAGGCAGCGCTGACCCACCCAGGCCAGGTAGCCGCCCACCCTGTGCCCTCTGCCCTGGGCGACTCCCTTCCCGTCACACCACACTCTCTTCCAGCCTCTCCGCACTGCCGCCCAGCCCCCGGCACCCCGCCCCGAGTAGCCCCCCATGCACAGAGTGGCTCCGCCGGGCCCAGGCCCCTCCGAGGCGCCTGGCGTAACCGTAGCACCCGCCGGTGTCTCCCAGGTCCAGGGAGCAGCTGCGCTGGGGGCGAGGCGGGGGGCTCCGCGGCGGGTGGGACTTGGGCGTGGGGCTGGGGCCTCCATTGGTCTGGGATTGGACGTGGCTAAGCTTGAGGGGGAGACGGCCATTCCCGGCCCCTCGGCCCCGAACCAGCAAGGCCACAGTGAAGACCAGTAAGGCAGCCACCAGCACACCCCCCACAGCCACAGTCAGAGTCCCGCCCAGCACGTGGGCCTGCAGGGCGTGGCACAGGGGCGTGGCTGGCAGTGTGGAGAAGTGGGCACAGCCCAGCAGCTTGGTGGCCGTGAGGTCGGAAGGCCCAGCGGCAGGTGACAGAGCCAGCAGGCAGAGGTCATAGTCGGCA